AATCCCTCCCCTCCCCTCCCCCTCATTTGAACCAAACAGACCCTTAGACTCTGCAAATACGCTAAAAGAATATTCAATTTCTAAAAAAAATAATAATTTTCACCCCTGCTTAAGCTGAACTTGTCTTTTTCCATTATATTTCTCTCCAACAACACCAATAATAAACAAAAATGGAATCATATTAAGTCGCATATACCACAAAAAATAATACTTTCTATCCCCTTTTAATCCTTCAATCTCTACTCCTCCTTCCATTATCACTCACCTCTCTACTTCATAATTCATACACTCTTCCTTTTTATATTCAAATTCAAACCTCAAAATCCATGACTGAACAAGGTATTATTCCCAATTCATCAAAAATTCAGTTTTCAATCCTTTGAGTTCCATGTTCAATCTTCGCCTTCTGGGGTGCTTCAATTCACATTAAAAATTTGATTTTTATTATTATTACCTTATTTACTTTTGTGGGGTCTTTTTCTTTTTGCAGATGGTGGTAATGGGTCTCCGAAATCTTCATCTTTGACTTCCTCCTATGAAGAAGCATTGGAGGCTTTGTCGTCATTGATCATTAGACGCACTCGTGCCGATGGTAGCAATTTCGGTGATCAATTTGATGTCCTATTTGAATACATCAAGGTAAATTTTTTGAAAAGTTTGTGTTTTACTATCAAACAGACACTAGACATGATTGACATGTAGACAGTTATAATAATTTAAGAAAGTAGAAGTAATAATAGAATAAAACCACATCTGTATGTATCATATGGGTGTCGGACATTGACATGTGTCGGACACCAGAGGTATTGCGGATGCGGTTGCAGTGCTGCGATTGTGGTCCTTGCGTTTGCTGCAATGCTCATTGCGGCTGTTGTAGTTAGAATTTTGATTGGGATGTGTTTTAAGTTCACAGTTGAAAAACACTTAATTTTAAGATTTTTCATTACATGATAAGTAAGTTGAGTTTTTGAGTTATGAAATTATGAGTTTTGATACAAATTCTTGAATAAACATGGGTGAAATTGTCTTATGGAGTTCCTAATGCGATAGGACGCCTGAAATCACAGTGCAATTGTGGTTCTATGCGATTGCGTAGTCTGCCGCATCAGCAATATTGCGACCGCAATTGCGGTCGCGTACTGCAATTTAAAACCATGGTATAAACAACTGCATAGAGTCATCTTAAGTTTTCAGAGACTCTGTGTAGGTTTACCATAGTTTAACTGTGGAAAAAAAATAGGGGTCCTATTTTGTTATGGTTTAACTGTTTCAAATATTTTATGAGGCTCTTTTTAACCGTAGTTTAACCCGAAAAATTTTAGGCTCGGGATGCTAGTCCGCCTTGCACGCCCTCAAAGACGGCCTTGCAGTTGCATAGGCATGGCGGTGCTACATGTGTGAATTGGCCAATTCGGTATTGAGTATTTGGTGATTTTGTTAGGATGGTTGTTGTTAATAATGAAATATACTTTTCATAGATGCTAGATTTGGAGGAGCAGATTTCAAATATGAAGATTATCCATGTGGCTGGTACCAAAGGGAAGGTAATCTCTTTTTCTTTTGTGGCTTGCTTGTTGCTTGGAACTGAAGCCATCATGAGAATTTTCATTTGGTTTCGACAATCAATAGGAACAGTGCCTATAGCGTTGTACCTTAGTTTTGTCCTTTATAATTCTGTGTGTATATTATACTTAGTAAACTATATGCAAATTGTAATGATAATTGTGGTTCCATAGGGATCTACATGCACCTTCACAGAATCTATATTACGCAACTGTGGTTTTCGTACTGGACTTTTTACATCTCCTCACCTCATTGATATCCGAGAAAGATTTCGTTTAAATGGGTGAGTGCTTCTGATTCATTTGTTGCAGCATTACTTCAGTTATTTGATTATTTAGCATCATTATTGTTACATCTGCAGTATAGAAATCTGTCAAGAGAAATTTATAGCATACTTCTGGTGGTGTTATGATAGACTAAAGGTATGTTTTCATGCATATGACAATAAGGAGTCTAGTGTTATTTAATTGAAAAAATGAATAAAAATATTACCTGATATTGTGATTGTTTATATGGTTAAGTAACTGCTTTGTCATTTCAACTGTGCACAGGAAAAAACTGATGATAATATTCCAATGCCTAACTATTTCCGCTTCCTCGCTTTACTTGCCTTCAAAATATTTGCAGAGGAGCAGGTTTGATTCCTGTGCTTTGAATTTCTATGGAATCTTGTTTGGTAGATATATACAATTTTTTGTATGCACACGGTGGTGTTATTACCGAATACTTTTATGCAGGTAGATGTTGCTATCATGGAGGTTGGACTAGGTGGAAAGTATGATGCAACAAATGTGGTATGTATGTTTTTTTTCTTTTTCCGGTCAGAAACATATTGGTTTAACACGGCATACTGTACGAATATTGAATATCGGTATTTGTATAAGTTTTTCTATAAGTTAATATCTCGGAACAGGCTAATGCGGATGTGTTTGTATTTCAGGTTAAGGCCCCTATCGTGTGTGGAATAACTTCCCTTGGGTATGACCACATGGAGATTCTTGGTTAGTTTTCTCTTCTTAAAATTCTAGGTAGTCGCGAATGTAATGCATACTTATAGATATTGATTTATGCGTTCGAAAAACCGATATGATATACGTGAAGTATCCGAATATGATTGAATTGAATACACATGTTTCTATGCTCACTAATTTGTACAGCAATTAACAGGAAATACTCTTGGGGAAATCGCTGGTGAGAAGGCCGGTATTTTTAAGGTTGTTTTTTATTTATTATGTAGAGTATTTTCTTCTTTTCAAGATGAAAAAAATCAGTTTCTGTCTATCAACAATTTGCTCGTTTTTCCCTGTATTTATTTGTTCATTTGTTTCTAGGATCGGATTCCGGCTTTCACAGTGACACAACCAGAAGAAGCCATGCATGTACTTGAAGAGAAGGCTTCTAAATTAAATGTACCGCTTCAAGTGGCGCCTCTGTTAGATGCCAAGTTGCTAAACGGCTTAACACTTGGTCTTGAAGGTGAGCATCAATATTTAAATGCCGGTCTTGCCATTGCACTGTGCTCTACTTGGCTGAAAAGAACGGGGCATCTTGGACACACGAACTTGGAACGAACGGTAAGTTCTAAAACTAGATATTTTTACGCCTTTCCCCGTTCTTAAAGCCTTAATGATGAAGCAATCATCTACTTGCATGAAGGACACTTTGCCGGAACAGTTCATAAAAGGGTTGACAAATGCAAGTTTGCAAGGAAGGGCTCAGATTGTTACCGACATACACTTCACGAGTGAACAGTCGAATGAACTTGTTTTCTATTTAGACGGGGCTCATAGTCCTGAAAGCATGGAAGTTTGTGCAAGGTGGTTTTCTCTTGCTATCAAAGAAAACAATCCAGACCAAACGTTGTTTCATCAGCAACTTGATAATCCTAAAGCGTCAAATGAGATAGTGAAGACGCAACACGGGGAAAAAGGATTCCAGAGAAAATCCACTCCGGTAGAGTACATATTTAAATTTTTTACTTTCTAGATATAAGAAGGCACAAACTGGGGAGATAAGAGAAGAACTGCTTGTTCTTTGAATCGGAGTTGATGATTGAAATTTTATGCTAAAGTCGATGAATGACCTGCAGGTATTGCTGTTCAACTGCTTGACTGTACGAGATCCTCAATTGCTTCTTCCTCGTCTGATGGAAACATGTGCTGATCACGGTTAGTAGTGTCTGGATTTTGCCAGGATACAATTATCAACTATGGTTTAGTCCTATAATGAGAGGTTTTTCCCTCTGGTAATACTGTGATTAATGATGTTTGTTAGGATTAAAAAGTAATGCAAACTATATTTTATATTGAAAATTGTTCTAAAGGAAGTTTTCTCTGTCCATGGAATAATGGAATAAATAAATTGAAATTGTAGGAGTTTATTTCAAGAAAGCACTCTTTGTACCAAGTTTATCTGTGTTTAACAAAGTTGGATCCCAAGCATCAACAACAATAACTGATTCTAAAGTCGATCTGTCGTGGCAGTTTGATCTTCAAAAAGTATGGGAAAATCTCATGCAAGGCAACAAAGGTATTGTGATTGTTTTGTCGATCTGGTATGTAATTAGAACCGTATCTGTGATTATTTTATGACTTCACTCTGTGATCCCTTGGCTTAACAGGTAAAGTTACTGACACTGTTTCTGAAGAACTAAAAGATGGTATGGAAATGAGTGATAATAATTGTGAATACAGCGCCGTGTTTTCGTCATTGCCAGTTGCAATCAAATGGCTTAGAGACAGAAGTCAACAAAACCAGTCGGTTCGTTTTCAGGTAATATAAATTACACCAAAGAGATACAAATATCTAATTTCGCATAACAAACTATCTAACATGCAAATTATCTGGTTGATACCTCAGGTTCTTGTGACCGGCTCTTTACATCTTGTTGGCGACGTTTTGAAATTAGTCAAGAAGTGATTTTCTGTACAAATTTGAAGCTTCTTCAATTCGAATCTCCAAACAACATTATGGTATTCATGACCTTATTTCATGCCATGAGTTTTCCCAAGTATACACACTTTGGTTCTTTTGAGAAATCCCAACCCAACAGCTATGGACTCCATTGATCATCCTTAGGATGGTGACTTTCTACAGAGCAAATTTTGATACATCACAAATGTGTTGTAATATTGATGTTTAGATTCAAGATGGTTTCACTTTTCTGTTTAATTTTTATCTTTTCTCTTGAATAAAAGAAAAAAGTATTATCCAATGTTCAAGGCTTTACAATTTGCACACTCTCAAAACAGTTCTGAATGGACACCGGAATGATTTTAAATGTTTCTAAAATTCAATCACTTAAAATAACACAGTTTCATGATAAAGACTTAAAGCAAAAACTCAAGTTTATTTATTTGATTTTAGACCTAAAAATAAGCTATAAACATTATATAATTGCCTGTATGTATATGAAAGTATGAACATCCAAGATATAATCAATTTGATTGAATGCTTTCATATCTAACCGAATGGCGTCTAAGCCACAACTGATACATTATAGTGTTAAATGCATCCAACGGCTGAGGAGGTCGATTCCACTGCAAGTGCTTACTTCCTTCCACACCCAATCTCTTCATATTTTCCTCTCTTTTCTTCCACGTGTCAGTATCATTCTTCACACCACTTTTCACAAACACAGCCATCTCCTTCCACCTCAGCAAATCCATAAACGGCATGTCGTTTACACCTCCCTCCGTAACCACAACAACCGGTACGCACCCTAAACGCATCGCTTCCCCCATGTCGTTTCCGTAGTCAACAAAACAGAAATCTCCACCACCCGATTTATCCGGCGCGTGGAGATTCGAGATCGGTGGTAGCGTGAGATCTTTGTGAGGGACAAACCTGTGACGGCGCGTGGGAAAGCACGAGATCTGAACCGCGTTTTTCTTCAGCTCAACGATGTTCCTGTCGTTTTTGTTGGGAATTCCAGCGCAGGAGAGGTAAAAGTGGTCGGCGCCGAGAGAACGGTTCCAGTAAGGAAAATCGTTGCGGATGCGTGAGATGAGACGCGTTAGAGAGCGCGTGGAGATTTCAGAGGAGAAAGGGAAGAAGAAGAGGTGCGCTTGTTGTGGGTGTTGGGTAAGGTAAGAACTGTTTAGAAGTGAAGAATAGAAGAGAGATTCTATTTCTGTTCCGAAATTGAATTGGTTTGTGTTTGGTGGATACATAAAGACTTTGAAATTTTGAACCATTTTATGATAATTTTGAAGGAAGAGTGTTGTTGATGTTAGGTAAGGATTGTTTTGTGGTAGTGAAACCACTAACGAAGAGGAACATAATAGTAATAAGAGGTAGAGGCATGTCTTGAACAACAACATTTTAGAACTGTGATCTAACTAATTAGATTTGTCTTGTGATAGTTTGAAGGTTGAAATGGAGATGAATAGGTAGATAAGTCAAAGCTCAACACTTTCGATGATGTTAGAATATTCACTCGAGTTTGCAAAGTTGCGTTGCCTAGTGTGTCTCTTTGACTTGGCCTTTTGGTGTTGCCGGTTGGATCATAGAATTTGGGGAGAAAAATAGAATCTTTTACATTCCTGACTGCCATATTATTAGAACTTAAACCCCAAAATGTCATACTTCTACAAATAAATTCCAAAATGCCATACTTTTAAAAACGAAAATTTTTTTGGTTGTAGGTAGCCGCCCATTCATTGGGTGGATGTGTGGAAATTTAAAGTGAATCGTCCATTGGAAGGGCGGTAGTGACCAAGACCAAATTTTTCCTTTTTTTTGTCTTAAAATATATTTTTAAATATTAATATATATAATTATTAATATATATTATTATCAAAATAGATTAATAATATAAATTTTAATATATATTAATATTAATAATATTAATATATATAAATATTTATATTAATAATAATATAAGTATTAATATATATTATTATAAATATATCTTAATATGTATTTTTAAATATTAATATGTATTATTATTAATATATATTATTATCAAAATAGATTAATAATATTAATTTTAGTATATATTAATATTACTAATATTAATATATATTAATACTTATGTCATTAATAATAAAAGTATTAATAATATTATTAATAATATATATTAATATTAATATTATGAATATATTTTAAAATTAATATTATTAATATTTATAATATTAATATACATTAATATTAATAATATTAATATACATTAATATTAATAATATTAGTATTTATTAATATATGTATTATGTGACATTATTATTAATATTAATATAAATTTATATATTGAAGACATAATTTATATTGATTGAAATTATTAACTAATATTATTTAATACATGATGATTAATAAAAGGACTAACGACTACTTGTTCCCACATTGGGACACCGGGTGCGGTTGTGTCCCGTTTGACGACACATGGAACATTTCCTCTCAAGCTTATCAAAGTTATCCATTTCTGTTGTAATACGTGTGTTTACAGGGCGACCTTTCTTGTTCCTCCACATTCTTGGGTTATGGCAAATTTGATCTCCTTCATAAACAGGCCAATATTCATCGCATGACATCACTGGAAAGCTTGCGTTGTAAACCCCAAACAGGTTTGTAACCCTATAAACGTCGGACAAAAGAGCGCAAGCGTCGTGGCGCACATTCGAACATGCAGCGATAACATGTGAGAAAGGGACACGAAATGCTTGAAACTTTCCGCAATCACACCACCCGTTCAAGAGGTCGACCTTATAATGTCCCATAGGTTTCCCCTCACCATGGTCCATTGTCTCTTGCACACTGAAAACATTGAGGCAGTTGTCTGTAAATGTTTGGCCAGAATTCAACACAACACTCCACTTTCCACCCCTTTCAACAAATAAAGATCTTAGTCTATAATACGTTGCCCTTACCAATGCTGTAATGGGCAAATTACGTGTGCCCTTAAAGACGACATTCATTGACTCGACAAGGTTGGTAGTCATGTGACCCCAACGTCGACCGCCGTCAAATGCCCTTGTCCATTTTTCGGCTGGAATACTGTCAATCCACCTTAAAACATCTGTATTTGCCATGCCAATCTCTGACCGATAGTAATGAAATGTTGGCTGGTTTAAAGCGTATCCTGAATAATTAAAATATCAAATTAAAATATTGACAAAATAATATATGTTATTGACAAAATTTAATGAATATTAATAAAAATAGTTACCCATGTTAATTATTTTTTTCCGTAGGTTCCTGTCCTTGATTTCTCTCATAAAGTTTTGTGCAATGTGTTAGATACAATAAACATGCACTGAAGGGGGATCGTGCCAACCATTTTCCGCATTGTTGTATGCACTTTCAATTGATGCATGTCGGTCTGAAATTAAACATAGATCTGGTTGTGGGGCGACATGCCTCCTTAAGTTTCTCAGAAAAAAACCCCAGCCTTCAGCGGTTTCACCTTCCACAAGGGCAAAAGCAACCAGAAATATGTTGCTGTTCCCATCTTGTGCCACTGCGATAAGCAGTGTACCCTTGTACTTACCGTATAACCAGGTTCCATCAATTTGAAGTATAGGTTTGCAATAGGCAAAACCTCTGATGCATGGTTGGAATGCCCAGAATAGCCGGTGGAAGATGTGTTTCCCTTCAACAATAGTTCCGTCAGATGTATGCATGGGTAGTGTTTCTATTTCCAGCACAGTGCCCGGAACATATTTTTTAAGTGCTAACAGAAAATGTGGAAGTTCATTGTACGAGCTTTCCCAGTTACCGTAGACTTGTTCAATTGCCTTATTTCTTGCTATCCATGTCTTTCTGTAAGACGGAGTAAAATTGAATTCGGAAACAATTTTACTTATGCAAACACTAACCTTAATAGAAGGATCTTTGTCTACAAAAGGCATTAATTTTTGAGACATTAACTGCAAGGTTAGTTTTTGATGATCCTGATTAAACAAAGTTGTTGAACAACTATGGGGTGGGTTCATAATGCCTATCTCCCACAACTCACTTCTTTTTCGGTAGGACGCCACGAGACGAAACTTGCAGGAATCATTCCTGCAACAAATTATGTATCTTTTCTTGTCGGAATCTATCACTTTGTAATCCACACAGTGTTTCATGTGGTATTGCTTAATGGCAGCGACACAGTCAGCTTTATTTTTAAATTGGTAACCGACTTCTATGTCACCTTCCGCGGGAAAACGAGGATTTCGTGGCCAATCAAATGACGTTCCTTCTATGCTTAGTGGCAGGGTTGTCATATGCGCTGATGGGATGAATACATTTTCAACTGGAACACATTGGTCATCTATGTTGACTTCGTTCCCTTCCTCAAACAAGGTAGTATATAAATCATCAACTTGTGCCTCGTTTTCTTCTTCGCCGTCTCCTTCTTCAACATCTTCGTGTGGAATTATGGATGGATTGATCACCTGAGAAGTCTGCGTTTCTTGAACTTGTGCAAATGTTACATATAAATCAATGTGATGAAACCCACAACATTCATGATTCGAGAACATCGTTTCAACATCCTCGTCGTCACGAATCTTCAGTGGAACAAATTTAAAGCGATTGTCGCTGAAATGGACGGCATTTTTGTATGTCATCTGTGACACTGATCCAGCTTGCACCTTCATCTGTACTCTTTCTTTAAAATGTTGGAATGATGATCTTCTATTAACAGCGAAACGAATTACGTCAGTGTTTTCAAAAATCAAACCCACTTCATCTGATACAACAACACTTCCATTGAAATGGGCATTAACAATGTATTGTTAAGTACTAGACATTATGTAAGATGAAGTGGAGATAGTAGTAGAATTTGGCTCGTAGTATATTAATATATTTGAGTAGTGGTGGTAGAATGTGGATATAGTAGAATTTGAGATAGTAGTAGCAGAAAAAAAATTACTAGCAGATAAAAATTATTTGAGTAGAATTTGAGATAGTAGTAGCAGAAAAAAAATTGTTTGAGTAGAATTTGAGATAGTAGAATTGGAGTAGTAGTGGTAGAAGAAAAATATTTTGTATGACTAAATTTTATAAGAAGGAAATAGTAGAACCAGCCATGCAGTCACGTGAAAGTAGAATAAACTTAGCCGCCCATTGAATGGGCGGTGGTCAAAGTCATTACACTCAACCGCCCTTTGCAAATACGGTTGTCTGAAAAGCATTAACTATGTCTGAACTCAACCGCCCATTAATGGTACGGGTGTCAGCTAAAAAGACACACAACCGCCCTTTGATACTAAGGGTGTTAGGATTAAAGAGACTCAACCGCCCATTCAATAGGCGGTGGTCAAACACTTTAATACTCTGCGCCCATGCAGCAGGACACGTACCTATGCATGCAAAAATTCAAACTCTATGCATGCATAAATTAATTACCTTTTTAATTTTATACCAACACACCATTAATTACCTCTTACATATTTACCTATTTATCTCTTACAATTATCTCTTACAATTATAATTCTCTCCTACAACTACAAACACATTTATCTCTTACAATTATAATTCTCTCTTACAATTATAATTCTCTCCATCAACTTCAAACAACTTCTACAACTAAATTCCATTTTCAAACACCAACTTCAGCATACCTATTTTACTTTCAAAAATGGTTTTACTTACCTTAGGAGATGATCACCGTGGTACAATTGAAAACATTGCAAATTATGTAAGTTAACTTATATTTATTTAAACTTAGTTATGTTATATTCTAATAGTTATGTTATATTCTATTAATGTTAGTTACTTATGCTATACTCTAATAATGTTACACACCATAACTATGTTTATTTAAAGTAAGTTAATTTATTTATGATGTTACTTATGGTGTTACTTATTTTTTATTTTGTAGGATGAAAAAAATTTCAAACCACACTCTCATAAGTTTATAGAACCTGATGAGGTTATCCTACCGTATTTGATTCAAGCGGGTTTCGGTCACGTCATCAAGATACTTGTGGGACCCTCGAAACCAACCAACTTCATCAAACTTCCAAAACACCCCCACCATGACTTATGACACCCAACCACCAATATTTAACACCCCACAACCAATATTTAACACCCCACAACAAATATTTAACACCCCATTCAACCCAAACCCAACACAACCACCTTATACCCCAAGCCAACACTACAATCAACCTTACACATCATTTAACCCAAACTCCTTCAACATCCAACAACAAAACCCAACCTCATCATACCCCCAATATAACCAATTCTCATTCTCTCAACCTACCCAACAAGAACACAACTACCAAATACCCCAACCACAAGTTTCTTTTTACCCTTCACAAAACTTCACCCTTTCTCAAGACCAACATCCATACACCCCCTACATGACTAACGCGGCGCCACCTATAAACCCACCAACTTGGAGTAACGAGGGTACAAGATTAAGTTATGGAAGTGCGGCAGCGATACCATGTGACGACGATTTCAATGATGATTTGGTCGCTCAATTCATGAACCCTAACAATGATGCAGGTCCATCTACGCAGATCCAAAACGCTGAGGTTGATCGTAGAAGGTCCACCAGAAATGTACAAGCTCCTGCCTGTGGAACCCACCAACGCTTACGTCGACCGGGGCAAAATTAATTTTTAGTTCATTTATTTTTATGTACTATTTTTATTTCAAGAATAAATAAATATTTATTTTAGTTTATTTATTGTATTATATTTCACTGTAGTAATTTATTTTAATTAGTACTATTTTTAAAATAATTATTTCTATTTTACTTTTATTTTAATTTATTATAATTATCTATTTAATAATTATTAACTAAATATAATAAACATAATAAACAAAAAATAATGTAATAAATATAATAAATATAATATTATCTATTTAATAATTATTTTATTTTAAAATTTATTATTTATAATTACGTAATTATTTTTTTATTTTAATATTATCTATTTATAATTATTTTAACAATAATTATTTATAATTAACTAAATATAATAAATAAAAAAGAAAATGAAAAAAAATTTCGACTCTTTGCCGCCCAATGGATGGACGGTTACGTTGTGCCAAAAAATAAATTTTTTTGAAAAGATGGCATTTTGAAATTTAATTGTAAAAGTATGACATTTTAGGGTTTAAACTCTAATACTATGGCAGGAATGTAAAAAATTCAGAAAAATAAGTGAATTTTATTTTTATTTATAATTAAAGATATTAGGGATGGAAAGTGATGTGATATGTGGGCAGAGTTGGAATATTCACAATCTAAGCATTATGATAGATATAAGTTCCCACATTTGTATACGTAGTTGTTATAATTGAATCCATTTGCTCAATATAGAAACAATAATAAACTAAACTAAATATGTAGTTGTTATAATTAGAATCCTTTTGCTCAAATATAAAAACAATAATAAACTGAGAATATTACTATCCTTTTTCTTTCCATTAAAATATCTGTACGAATAATTCAACCTATCAAATGTCATTCAACAATAAAGGCTAATATAATATTCATTTTTATTTAATCTAATTAATAATTAGTATATTAGTTATATTTTATTTAATAAATAATTAAAGTAAATTCATAAAATTTAACATTCTCTCATTTAGATGCCATTAGTTAACTATTAAAATATAATAATTATAATAAACAAATATAAGTATGAGAAAACACAAAATTTAATAGTGTATAAATTGTATCTGATAGAAAAAAAATCACACAGGTCAAATACTCACATTTCACATAACGATGATGAATATGGATTAATATACTATAATGAAGAGATATGTAATCCACTAATGGTCCAAGAATCTGAAATGTTATAAGAGATATGATTATTAAATTGACGTCATCTTATACATATCTCATTGCAATAATCAAATACAACAATCAGACTTCGACTATTTCAAAATCCCAAATGATGTGATTACACTCATGTTGGTTGCATGCTTTTGAAAAACTCCAATAGTTAAGCATTTGGTCAGCTGACCTGCCACCATGTTCTATGTGGCAAGATGTTTGCTTCGAGTATGAGATCCAAAAATTTTCTCTCTGACAAATAGATATTTAATTTCAAAATGCTTTGAGCAAGAAGAGCTCTTGATGTTCTGAGAGAAATGTACAACAGTAGAATTCATTGCAATATATCACAAGTGACCTAGATATGCTTTCAACAACTTTGAAGCGAGATATTAAGTTCTTCAGCTACATAGCTTGACAAATAGCTTCATACCAAGCTACATATTATGCCTCAATGGTTAAGGTATTCGTAAAAGTCTATTT